AGCACTTTCTCTGGGGTCGATATTCTCTTGTTTATAATCCAAATCGACAAAATCTTTTACCACGCTGCAATATGCAATAATGTACCTTTTCCCAAACTTAAGTTGACAACAGATTTTCCTACACTTCTCAATACTGCTTTTTTTCTTTAAACACAACAGTCAAATAAGCTTTATAAAAAACCTTATTCACTAAAATATTTATACAAATATACTAGTTTGAACTGACCTCAAGTTCACTTCATCTTCCAGTTTTGTTCCTAAAAAAAGTCAATTCTTCTCAAGATATTATTAATAAATGTCTTTATTGCAGATAGTACTTCAAAGAACCATTTTAAAATTCCAAACGTCAGAGTGTCGTCTTGAGAAACCATGTTTGAACTAAACTATAATCTTTAGGATTGTAATAATAATACTTGTTAGATCCTCAATCGTTGTACTACTGTAAGGCCTCTGTAAGTTTAGTGCATCTATAGAATTCTCCAGAACATCAGTTTTTGAAAACTGCAATAAAAAGAATTTGGCTAGCAAATGCTAATAGATGAAAGTAACGCCTATATTACTTGTAATTTTAAATAAGCTTTAAAAAAATATCAGTGTCTAGTGGTAAGAAAAGAGTGAAAATTTGTACTTAAATAAGTAATACTAATGAAATATATGCTAACAGTAGATTGAGCTAAGTTTTTTTCCTTATCAGCGTCCCAAAACTCGTCCGGAACTATATATAACATGCCAACAAAAATACATGATGCAGCGAAAGCTGTTAATACTATGCAGTTGACAGTGAAACCGCTAGCTGTAAAGAGCAAAGTCTTACAGTAAACTAATAGTTAATATTAAAAAAAGTTAGCAAAACTAGATAGCAAGAAGCTGACAGTGAAGTTGAGCAATTATCTGAGGCATGACGATGTTGCCAGCTCCTGAACCGGCTACTGCAAATCCAGTTGCCAACGAGCGCTTTTTTTTGAAGAAGAAACAGACAACAACTGTTGCCGGCAGATATAGAAAACCAAGTCCTGCTCCTACAACCAACAAGTCGAATGAGAAACTGAACACTTCGTTAAGCAAAATATTTTTAAAATAGATAACTCTTTTTTCTTATCAGATCAGTTTGTTAGACCAACCTCCCAATATTCCAAAAACGAAAATTAAACAATAAATATTGGTTATGAATATGGAACAGAGGAATGCTAAAGACGTTATTATGCCACCTATCGCCACAACAATTCTTGGACCATATTTATTGATAAATGCGCTTACGATAGGGCCTAAACGAAGTCAGTGGTGTTATGGCATCAGAGAAACTGGTGTTTTAGTAACAGTAAATATGAATAATTACAGCGATCAAACATCAAAATGTTCAAGGAACCAATTTTAAAACAGCGATGTTAATTCAGTTTAGTAAATTAACTTAAACACAACTACCTGTCTGTCGTCGACTGAAACTTTAAAAAAGTGATTTTATTATAACACATACCAACCAAAAGATATGCTCCAAGCAGAGACGAGCCAATAAAAGCTATAGTTGCTTCAGAGTTTCCGACAAATTTTTCTTGTAAAAGTGGTCGTAGATTTCCAAATGCATAACAGATACCGTCGACTACAAAGTTACAGTAGAAAGAAACCGCGACAATAACCCAACCATAACCTCCGTCTATTGAAATACTGTGTTTATCTGAAACCAAAATATGTTTGGCGTTTTAGTTTTGAAAATCTAAAAACATATCAGAATATAGTCATTAATAGTAATAGAATTTTTGTTGTTGAAGTGTCATGAGTAACAGTTGAAATAGAGTGTTATTACCGGTTTTGTTGTCATTAATTTCTAAGTTTGAGTTATGGTCGGAGATATTCCATCGAGTACCTGAACAAGACAATAAATTACATTAAAATATTTTTAGATTAATTGTACAAAAAGCAGTTAATATTATTTTTTAAAAATTATACCAATTTTTGCACGTTCTATTTTTTCGACATGCCCAAGAGCTTTATCTGTATTTTGTGGCGTCTATAAGTTGATTTATATAGCACATGAATTCGAAAGAAATTGAAGTGGAACAAAAAAAAGAAATTGGCTAAACATTAAAAGCAGTTAAAATAAAGATAACATAGACCAATTTTAAGAAACTAAGAAAAATCAAATATTTAGCATTATGTAATTACTATAAAACAATTATAGTTTTGAAAAACAATTGAAAAGCTCAAATTATAACTTTTTTAACAGCAGCAGTAGCAGCTACGTCAACAGCAACAGTAGCAATTGCAGCATCAGATCTTTTCTCATCTAAGTGACTGGAGAACAAAAACCAAATTAAGGTTTTGGAAACAAAATTACAGTAAAATTAAGTATCAGAAATCTTCTATGTATTAACACATTTACACAATATATTTGTTTTTGAGTACAACATTTACCTTGCGATCACTTAGTTGCTTATTGTTCGGCATGACAACAACAGTTGTTTGTTACAACAAAATTTCAGCAACAAATGCCTATAAAAAGAAAAAAACAGCGGGTTTTCTATTCAACAAAGTTTAATTGTAAATTTCTGAAAAAACTCAAGTTTACAAAAAAAAAACACTTGCTTTTTTTTTTTTTTTTAACCAAAATACAGTACATTAAGTATAAAGTCACAAATCGTCTACTGTAAATAAGACTGATTCTAATCGTAATAAACAGACACTTTCCTTCAGTTTACTTTATTTCAGCACTTAAAAACAAATAAATTAAACTTTTGTATCGTTACAAATTTTCTGTAGTTTTTATTAAACAATAATAGCAGCAAAAATTTACTAAACTGACAAGCGATTACTGCAGAATTATGAAACAACAAAAAACAAAACGAACTAGCATTATTAAGTGATTCGTAATTGAAATAATCTAAAATACTGTACCGTATAGGATGTTCAATAATTACAAAACGAAGATAAAGTTACAATATAAGAAATTTTTTTAGAAGTCTGTATCAAAAAAAAAAAAA